CATCCATCCATCCATCCATCCATCCATCCATCCATCCATCCATCCATCCATCCATCCATCCATCCATCCATTTTCTATACCACTTATTCCTCGTATGATCGTGTTATTAAGTTGTCACTGACACAGAGGCCTTGGACTGGTCATCAGTGCATCACAGGCACACACAGAAACTAACGACAGGAGCATTAACCACTAACTCCTGCAGATTAGAGTCACCTATTAACGTAACAAGTGCGATTTGGGACTATGGGAGGAAGCCGGAGTACCCAAGACAACCCATACATTCGTGGTAAGAACCCACATACTGCACCGGAAAGGCAGCATGCTTGCTGTGAGGTGATGATATTAGCCGCCACACCAGACACCATCGTACAGCCCAAGTTCCCTAACCCCACTTTATTTTTTCATGCTGCTATTGTCGACTTGTTAGTTTTTATTTTGTTTTAAGAAGAACAAATATAATGCAAAAGGGACGGAGAAAGATGTGTCTTTCCATGAGCAATGGAATAATGAAATCACTATTTTTATTTTTCTTACTGTTAAAATAATTCAAATGGCAAGTGGCATGCTTTTTTCTGTGGAACTCAACTACGTCCAATAGACTTGCTTGTAAGTAATCTTCCCTCAGAATAATCTTCAGATCATCATTAAATGAGCTCTTTTTATTTACAGAAAATCTGTTAATACCAACATTAAAAGTAGTGTATTGGTGATACACTAACCTTTGAAGTTTGTATAATTTTGAAAAGACATAAAAGTCAGTGGTGGGAACTGTTATGGCTGTCGGGGATCAAATTATAAAGTCTGAAAGAGTTATGTCTGGCAATTGGGTTACCAGGCCAATACAAGGTGTTACGTATGTCTCACTGTAGGCTTTTCTTAATAGCTGAATTATTGAGAGATAATTAAGGAAAGTTACCATTCCATTGACAGGGAGCAGGAGGTTTGGGGGTGCCTTTTTATTTGTTACATCTTTTATAAGACTGTTTCAATGTGCCACTGACAGAAATTGTACTAAAGTAGGACATCTAGCTCGAGGCATTGTAAAGTAACTGTGCTGTACCATGTCTGTCTTACTTAGAAGCCTCTTCATTTAACCCAGTGAAACACGAGTGTGGATATCCTCTGTTCCTGTGGACCAAAGCAGATTATACGGACAACTCAGGTTCCTCCGCAAAACTGCTTAATACAAAGTAATTACTTTTGACATGCTCAGTCCGTAATACTTTAATCCCTCCGGACTGACAGGTCACTCTGGGAGAAAGCTGGAGCTAATTAAATCTGCTATAGTGGTTTATTTTAATCCTTTGACACCGTTGTTTTTGTAGGCCCACCTCTTGAAAAGGTATGTGGCTCACAGATTTGCTAGAAACTCCATCTGGGACAAGGACTTCAAAAGAAGAGGAGAACTGACCCTAAAGGAATCTGTAAACCTTTCTTCTATTTCAAACTATTGAATAATCAAATGTTTTTGTATGTATCAGAAAATTTGACATTTCAGGGAATTTGTTAGAGATGCAAACTTGGAGAGATAGTCACTCTTTGGACCTGATCTTTATTTCTGCCAATAGAAATGTGTTTGACACATTTATTTGTTTTTTATTCCACCGAATGGCTTGTTGTGTGACGCTGTGATGCTTCGAGGGTAGGTCTGGAATTCCGCTAGTTCTGAACTATTCATGTTTGGTAAAAGTTCACTACTAGCAGAACTCGGATTTGCCCCCGACTACCGACGGGAAGCTCTTTGACCACTGCGACCAGGGATGACGCCCTGGTGCGTCCAGTTGCTGTCCTGAGCAGCAGGTGGTCTTCACTGTTTAATGGCGGTTAATGGCTGTAAACAATTACGCTGGTGTTAAGTGACCTAAATGCACCTTTTCTACTTATGCGGTCTTATGTTCACTTAACATCAGGTAATGTGCTCTCTGACTTGTGCTTCATTTGTTGTTAAGATTTTTTAATGATCCGTTTCTTTCCTGTGTCCCCATCTCCCATTCCCTTACAGTACCATTTCACCCATTTCTGCAGGCATTTAAGACATTTTGGAGATTTGGTCTGGCTGACTGAACACCATTCTGCATGACAAGCATCCAGGCAGACATCATGTATGCTCAAATGTCACATTTAAGGTTCACAGTGGGGGTAGTGTTTATGTCTTGTTGTTCAGCAATGAAAGTAGTGCATTAAGGAAGGAACTTGTAAGAGCACTAATGACAATTTCTCTAAAAAGAAGAGAAAAAAATGTATATTTTAAATGCTTTTTATTTCCCTGCTAACATTACAAAGCACAACGTAAAAAAATGATTTGCCTAGTATGTTCATTTCTTTCTTTTTGTCTTTTGTAACTTTATCTACATACGCTGAGGTCTAATGTTAATTCTATTAAAGAAATTGAGAAAACATTAACTCAATGTGCTTCACGTTATCCACATTTTTTTCTCAGCAATTGGAATTTTTACAATGAGCATTTTCAAAGCAAAGTTAATGAAAGTGGACAAAATTATTTTTGCTTTTATTGGAAGTAAAAACACACATGTAACTGTGAACATGCATGTGTTGTGCTGCTGGAATCTCCTCTTAAGACTGCAAAGCAAATCCCTTTGGTGTCTTGTTCATTAAACCACTTTAAGAACACGTTTCCAAAGTTGTGGTCAATATGCAGAAGAACGAAGTAATTCTAACTTAATTTTTTTTTTTACTGCGTTTAGCAAGAATTACAGTACAGATAAACCACATTACTGGTTTTAAGACTAGAGGGTTGGACCATTTTCTTTGGAATGTGAAGCTTAATTTTGATCTAACCTTTTTTCCTTCCACAGGTTAACACAATTAAAACCAAATGTCAAAGCCTTTAGATCTGCCTTTACATGTTTATGTTCTTGGTCACTCTTGTTACTGTGCTGGTGTACTGCCATGATAGAATGATCGCTGAGTAAGTATGGCGCCATCTGGAGGCCAAATGTGATACATGCAGGCACTGTTTGGGTTAGTTAAGTTATGAGAATCTCCACTGCGTCAGGATTCAGAGAAAAGATCAAGAAAACTTTGTTTTGCTATACAATTAACCATAGAAATCTTGTCTGATACACTATTGATGTTTTAAAACACATTTGTGAGGTCTCAGTCTGTCCACTGCGAACAGTTAGGAGGGAAAACTTTGGATTTCACATTTCTGATGAGAAATCTGACTTAGAATATAACTTATCAGTTATTTGTAGGCAATGCAGAAAAGTGTGTCTGGTTGGTTCATTCATAGAGATGTTGTCAGTAATCTTTTATCTTTCACACCCAGTCATCGCAAGAGTGATATATCTGTGTATGCCTCATGTTAATAACAATAATCTGATGTTTTCTTCTTTGCAACAATATACATATGTGTGTAGGTTTGTCAGCACAAGCAGATATAAGCTTTACAAATGCATATATCTTTATTTGTTTTCTCACGCTACATCCACAGTTTTATACGTAGAAGTCCCCATGTCTTAAACAACTCAGAGATCTCATACACTGTGGTCATTTTTAGTATACTTTATGGGTTTTCAGTGACCTGCGTTGTGTTTTTTTAAAGGGGGCAAAAAAACACATCATAATGCATAGAAGAAGGATACGGTTTGTTTTCATAACTATGGTCAGGGGAAATAAATACCCTTTGACACAATATTCTCAAAATGTTTTTATCTATTTTCTTTTTTTTTTTTTTTTCTTTGCAAAACACTTAATCTTTATGAACAAGGAACTCACTTGTGACATGAATTCCACTACATCAATGTTAACACAAGCTGAAGGCCTAAGATGGTTCAACTTTTGAGACTTCAGTGGCTGATTGACTTGCGGATGATTCATCTTCATCACCCCCACTCATCCCCAGCAACTTCCTCATGCATGAGCGGAACTGAAAGCCAGAACAAAGAAAAACTGTTAGGCTGTTCGTTTTTTCGAGCTTTTGAACATCTTAGTGACAATGTCTTCCAGGCAGAAAAGGGAGAGGAGTGCAAGAGGTGACATGGAAGTGTGACATTTGATATGCGAAAGAGATCCAGATAAATACGGTAAACACAAACTCTATAAGTGAAACTAACAAAAGACCCTCTTTTGTGGTAGTTAAATTGCACTGTGATTAATGTGCATGATCCATATCTCTTTTGTTTCATTCAAACAGTATTTACAAGTATCTGGAATTGACCAAATGAGCAAATGGGGTTTAACTTGTCTCTGTGAGGCCCTGTGATTGACTACTGGGATAGGCTCCTGTCCCAAAGCGACCACGTGAGGGAATAAGCGGTTCAGAAGATGGAAGGATGGAATTGAACTTAATTTAATTTGGTTAAATAAAGCCATCATCTTCACTGTTCTGAAAGACACCGTTAGAGGGCATTAGTGCCTCGTTAGTGAGTGGCTTAAACTTAGACTAATGTCCTTCTGGTTAAGTTCTAAGTCGAACACAACCTCTGCTCAGCTGCAAAGACAGAGCTGATTTTCTGCTCGCTAAAATATTCCAATCCACTGGATAAGCCTACCTGCTTATTGAGGACGACGTAGATGACGGGATTGTAGACTGTGGAGGCCTTGGACACGCAGGAAGGTATGGTTGCGAGCCTGAGGTCAAACGTCTGCCCACGGTTGTTGATGACCCACAAAGCAAAAGATGCATACGGCATGTAGCACACCAGGAAGCCCAACACCATTAGGACCACCATCCTGGTCACCTCCCTCTCTGCCTTCTGGGTGGAGGCGGATTCGGCCTGGGCCTTTGCTGCCTGATATAACAAAATGACATGTTGAATCCACACAGAAATGCACTTCAGCAAAACATTAGAAACACCTTAGATATTTTGTTAGCCTCCTGAGACCCTCCATCCTTGGGACGCTGCACCATGATACTTTCTTTTCTTTTTTTTACTTTGACCTATTGGCCTCATAGTAAACACTATCAGAGACTAAATCTGGTTTAATTTATTTCAAACTCATCATGTCTTTATCGTGTAATTAAGATTTTGTAAATAGGTCATTTTGAACTTCAGAATTTTGAATACATTAATACACATTTTAACTGCAAAGATAAATCCACTGTCCCTAAATGAGAAAAAAAACTACCTGTACCCTGACAGAGTCTACTTATCAAACTTATTAAGTTCTACTAAACCCATACCGGAGAAGAAAAAAATCCACTGCAGATTAAAACTAGGGTCTCATGAGCATAAAATTCCATTTAATAAACAGAATTCTTGTTCAGATGATATAAGATATGACATAAGCCCTACCATTTTCAGCGTGAAAAGCAGCTGCGAGTAGCAGAAAACGATGACAGAGAACGGGACAGAAAAGCAGAAGCAGAAGAGGAACATGACGAAGGTTTGACTGTTATATTTGTTGCCTGTCGAATACCAGTCTGGTCCACATGAGCATTGCATACCCTCTGGGATATATCTAGAGGGAAAGAAAATACATCAATGCAAGCGTCAATCTGATCAATATTTGTGAATCGAAGCTAGAGCACTACGTCGCTCTTTGTCAAGAGCTGTTCAGTAGAAGTGCGTTGAGGGATTTGAAAAACGTGTCTGGTTTTCAATCGCTAAAACAGTTTTTGCTCCACGCTCAAGTACCAACCTGCTCCAGCCAACGAGAGGAGGGACTGCAGCGCACAAAGCACAGCACCAGGTTAGTCCACAGAAGGCCAAAGCATGCTCAGATTTGAAGGCAAAATTCCCAAGTGGCTTGCAGATAACCAGCCACCTTTCAATTGCAATGACAGCAAGGGACCAAAGGCTCACCATTCCTGAGAAAAGAGAAAAGACAACAGTGTACACATCGATGTTTTTGCATGATCAATAAGCATGAAATACATACATTGGGTGAAAACAATCAAGAGAATAATATATCTGTCTCTTTGCGAAACATTTACAAAATTCTATCTCTATTCTTTGATGAAGTTATGACAATCCCTACCACCAAGACTTGCGGTAAATCCTTCTATCTTGCACCCCAGTGGACCGAGAATCATGTATCTGAAGGCAAAGCAGTAGAAGCAGGTGAACGAGCCCACGGAAGAAACGAGGAGGTTTGCGACAGCCATGTTAACAAGGATGTAGTTCAAATGAGATCGGAGCTTCTTGTATTTTAAAGTACACATAATGGTGAGGACGTTTATGGCCGTGCCCATCACGAATAAGATGAACATGAATGCTGACAACGAATAAAAAAGCGCCAGGCTTCCAAGATGGTCCTGAGGGACCAAGTATGGGCTGAGCGCCGTAATATTTTTGGTATCCAGAGGGATGGGGATCCAGAAGTCATCTTCTTCCCCGGGAGGAGGAGGAGGAGGATTTCCTCTCATTTTTCCTCTTGTTGGAGCTGAAAATCTACGCTTTTAGGATAAAGAGACAATGCTCTGCCAAAAGACAGCAAGCAATTTAGTGTCTGTAGTAGTAATTGGTGATTCAATCCTTATTCTACTGATTTTATCATCTTCTAACTGCTCTTTGCCTCCCTTTAATGGTGTGTCCTCGTAAACCTGCATTTATAGGAGCTCTAAACGTTACTAAGGCTCAGTATAATTGGCTCAAGGACAGACTCTTAAGCTTTATATCTTTCGTAATAATGACCTAAGCCATCTACCAACTAATGCCATGATTCGGCTCGTAATCCCATAGTTGGCCAACACTACATCTTAATCTGTTTACCACTGACGTCAAGGTGGTCACTCCCACACATTTGACTAAAATTTGTGTCAGTTTTCTTTTTTCTTTTATCAAGTGTCTGACCATAACGTTTTTGCAGCTCCAATTTTTCTTTTGTCAACCCCTCTTAATCCCAGGAATCATATGTAATGATAAAATATGCTTTACAGAGAGTAAAAAACAACTTTACAGATGTTTTGATGGGTGGAATATTCATATAGCACCCTTACCTGTGTGTTTACCCATTTTACATGCCTTATTGTAGAAGCTATTCTCTTTTTTGACAAACTGCTCTTATGTATATAGTGTGATGCTTTTCTTTCGAAATCCACAGGCTGTAAAATTGATTTATCATAAATATCATTGAAGTATTTACCATGTTATGATCTCAAACATGAGCATAGAGCATGATCACCATACAACTGGGGAGCCTTTATGGCAGATTATCAAGACAACATTATGCTTACAACTGAATGAAACTATTCAAGAATTGACTTTAAAAAACACACACCTTTAGACCTTAGTAGAATTGTACATTCATAAATATTAATACTAAAAATTAGCAGGACATCTAAGACAAGCAAGGCTCTTCCACAGCTAAGTTAGAGACTGAAAATGTTACAAAAAAACGATCAAATTCAAGTTATTGCGGTTAAAGGTGGCTCTACAGGCCACTTATGATTGGGGTGTACTTTTCAAACAACCATTTGCTTCTTACATCATCTAAAAGCGGTAAGAGTACACCAACATTTTCACACACAGCTTTAATAGTTTTTCACACCCATTATGAAATAAATACAAATGACAGGGTAATATGTTCTGTGCTGTTGATTTGATATTGTGTGTCTTAAATCAAATTATAAGAACGGATGAGGACTAGATTTTTAAAGTTTTCTGATATGTACATTTTTAGCAATAAAATTTCTCAGCATTGACTGTGAGCAGCCAGTTGAGCCCTTGTAAGCAAACTGCATATGTGTATGACAAAGCCAGTGGCAAACTAAGGTGCAAAACAGTAAAAAGACTTAAAGGGTTTTAGTGACATAAAGAAGATTCATTGAATATGTTTACCTCTTGTTTTTTAGTTTAATTTTATTATTTTTCACTTTTCAGAATATCAATGCTCTTTTATTAGCAATCTTTTACTTGGCAAAAACCATATTCAGTCTAACAAACAGAAAAATATGTAAGTTTCACTGTGAAATTTAAGTTTAAGCAGGCTCGATTTTAGAGACTTCGGTCACCGATTGCGCAGTTGATGTTTCATCTTCTCCACCACCCATTCCAAGCATCGATGACATGCACAAGCGGAACTGAAAGCAGTAAACACAAAAGACAAAGGCACATATTCAAGGCTGTTCAATTGCACTTAATCTTTATAAAGTCTATGCAAAATTCAACAACAAATTATTCTTTTTTTTCACAATTCCTTGAAATTTTAAATGAATGTTTCTATACGATTTTTATACAAAATACAATAAAATCCATATTAATATCGGCAGCAAAGCACAACCATTCCAAAATCAGTCATTGGAAAAGACATCCATCCTAACATCTTTTCCTTTCAGCGAGCGCACCTGCTTATTGAAGAGGACGTAGATGACCGGGTTGTACACTGTGGAGGCTTTAGCAAAGCAGGAAGGTACCGTTGCCATCCTCAGATCAAACATCTTGTCGCGGTTGTTGACAACCCAAAGAGCAAAGGAGGTATATGGCATCCAGCACACCAGGAAGCCCAGCACCATGACCACCACCATCCTGGTCACTTCCGCCTCTGCCTTCTGGGTGGAGGCGGACTCAGCTTGAGCCTTTGCTACCTGATTAAAGTTTGAAAATATGTTTGTCAGAAAATGCAGACACTGAGAATTAGTATTTTGACTTGAAAAATACTACTCAGTGTCATAATTTTACTGATGGAACACCATCGCACAATAAGCAGTCCGTCCATCCATTTTCAATAGCCTTTATTCCCAACGGGATAGGGCTGCAACCTATCCCGGCTGACAACAGTCAACAGGCCATTCTATCGCAGGGCCACACAGATACAATCAACCACATACACTCACATTCTACCCAGTACATGTTCCGACTAATTAAACCAGTTGGTTGGTATGTAGGGCAGATTTTGGCTTCAAAGAAAACTTCCCAAAGATCATTTCACGGCAAGTTTAGTCTGTTTTCTCTCACCACTTTAAGGGTGATCAGCAGCTGACCGTAGCAAAAAACTATTGTGGCAAAAGGGACAGCAAAGCAGAAGCAGAAAAGGAACATCACGTAGGACTCGTTGTTGTATTTGTTGTTTGTCGTGTACCAGTCTGGTCCACAGGAGCACTGCAGGCCCTCGGGGATGTACCTGTGAAAAACACGCACACACTTTAGTTCCAACACTCGAAGTTAAGCATCTTTTTAAACAATCCGCTGTTTCTTACCTACTCCATCCGACCAGTGGGGGGACTGAGGCTATCAGTGCAAATACCCAGGTGAATAAACAACAAGCTACAGCATGTCTGGGCTTGAAAGCAAAGTTACCAAGAGGCTTGCAGATGACCAGCCATCTTTCAAAAGCTATCACAGCAAGAGACCACAGACTAACCATACCTGAAAGTACATAGAGAGACAACTTAGAATCATGCAGTCAACCTCAGATAGAATCGAAGTGTACATGGCTTAAAACTTCAATCTTACCACCAAGTGTTGCTGCAAAACCTTCAATCTTGCATGCTAGTGGTCCAAAAATGAAATATCTGGATGAAAAAGAGCAGAAGGCAGTAAAAGAGCCCACAACTGACACAAGAAGGTTAGCGATGGCCAAGTTCACCAGGATATAGTTGAGGTGGGAGCGAAGCTTCTTGTATTGGATGGTGCATGCAATGGTGAGGATGTTGATTCCAGTGCCAGTCACAAATAGGACGAGCATGAATCCCGCCATGGCATAGAAAGTACCCAAACCTCCCAAGTGGTCTTGGGGAACCAGGAAAGGGCTAAGCGATGTGATGTTTTTAGTGTCCAACAATATTGGTATCCAGAAGTCTTCCGGTAGGTCTTTAACAGAGTTTGACCTCATTTTTCTTGGCTTGAACTGATGCTTTCCTTGATAAAGTTATAGCTTAAAGGCAAAGCTAAAGGATTCTAACAAAAAAAAATACTGATGTAGTTCGAAGTCGGAGAGATGCACGCTATTATGTTTGAATCTCGCTCTAGGTCTTGACCATCACCCCAATTTATAAGGGGCTCCAGGACAGTACTTTACCTCATTGTAAATTGATTTGATAATTGACTAATTGATAGGGTTTTTCATTAGCTCATCTAATTAATTAAGCAATTGTCCCTCTGTGTTGTATGATGTGATCCTACAGAGATTGTGTCCCTAAAATGTCTTGCAAGGAACGTAGTCTCTTATACTTTCTTGTCTTTTTGCCAATGTTTTAGCCATTGAATTTTATTCCTGTCTCAAAAAAAAGCAAAGCAACAGATGTTTAATCACACCACCTTTTGCTTCAGGTATAGGGTGAGGTCTATGTCAGAGGTTGTTGTATTGACCCAAAGTAATGTCTACATTCCAGAATGCTAAAAACTGGACCCATTTCAGTTGTTTTCCACATTCAACACTGTGTGGAAGCACAATCTACAGGTTTAAAATTTCAGGAGTTTACAGAGAGTTGAATGTTTTGTGCATGAGGAGATTCACCGTGCATATTAGATTATATGAAAAGCTTGTTTTTGACATCAGAATCTGGTTGGAAGGTTAATCCCACACTGTAGGAAGAGCTCAGCAAGTTAATGACAGCTAATCTGGTTTCCTATAACCTCATGTCTGATAATCTCATGTAAAGTACAGGGTAATCCACTCAACTACTTAATCTGATGGTGTTACCCCTTTGCCATTTAGCCTTTGACACAGACGTTCAACGAATCCTGATGACAATGTATCCCTACATGTTACACTGTAAATCCCTCACCTCAGCACCGCACCGGACGCATGTTCAAAAAGCAGAAAGACAACGCTGATATATATCAGTACACATTTCTAATGTTAAAATTTTACACCACAAAGACGTGAACACCAAAATCCCTTTTGGTGTTAACACGGAAGCCATTATTCAGATCGTCATCAACCGTTGTCTTCGTGCAGCCGTTCGTGTGTCTAACGAGGCCTAGCTTTAGGGAGTCATTAATGAATGCGTGGATGGTAAATCTTCATCTGCTCCTTATTCCTTCTGAAGGACCTGGATCACTGGATTTCAAAGACAAAACAAGAACTGTTCATACCAATTCGTATTTATGTTTCTCCTACATAAATGCTTTTTCTGGCATAAACATGTGTTTAAAAGTCTTTTCAATTGGCCTCATGTGTTATCAGATATTGCCATTAATTCACAGTCATATGGTTCATCTTTGAACGTGAAAGATTTTACTCTTTGTTTCATCGTATTTTTTTTTTGAAAAACCAAAACATTTCTTCACAAAATGCTTTGGTTAAATCTGTAGCTAAACAGTGAACACTGTAGAGCAAAATAAATTACAGGGCACCGTTACAAAAGCACAGCTAGAACAATGGCCAATTTTAAAAAACACCAACAGGGTTCAATAATGACACCATGTTACATGTTACGTGTAGCACCAAAAATAAAACATGAGAGAGAAAGTGACATAGATCTATTAACCAAAGAGATTATTTGGTCGAACACTTTATAAATTAGGAATCGATACATGAAAAAAAAGAAAAATGACAGATTAAAAACAATCTTGTTCATAGTGTTCCACTATTGTCTGCAGGATACCACAAGCCCTGTGGTTAACATCAGAAGAATTAATATCACTTCTTAACCTTTAAGTGGTCATTTGGGACCCTGCAGAGACTTTTTAATTAAAAAAAAATCTTCACCCATTCATAGTTAGAATGTATTTTCTCAGAGCTATACAGTGTTTTCCTCCATCAAAGTTTATCTGTATAACTCTAAATGTGTATAAAAAAGACATTTCAGCATCTTTGCTTATTTCATCTTTTCGCGTTAGCTTTTCATCTTGCATTTATTGAGGTTGCAGTTTTTCCCATATTCCCTTGACTTTTTTAAAACTTTTCATGCACTGTTTATTTGAGGGCACAAAGATCCCATTTTGTTATGTAACTTTGCCGTCGGTTAATATCAATTTCCTGGTATCATCTGACCCTTTCAGCAACCGCAGTGTAAACTGCTGTAGACATTTGGGAACTAGGAACACCAGACCAATTTTGTTTAGTATATGACTGTAATATTCCTGCTTTCTTTGCACTGTTTTAAATGGGTCAAGGCTCTGAACTGCAAGCAGAATGCGTCCAGACTCTTCTGCTGTGAGGCCAGGCTTTTGTAAGAGATGCAGCATGTGGTTTGGTATTATCTTATTGGAACGCAAACCTTCCTCCCTGATACAGTAGCCCTAAAACCTTTGCTGATCTAATTTGCCACTGTCCATCCTATATGGAATTTGGCCAAGATAAGACAGTATTGCCTCGCAATGATGTCCTTTTCTTAGCTGATGGAGCTTTCACCTTAATTTATGACTGTCACAATGAATTGTGTTGAAGGTCAATGATTTCTGCCTATACAGTGATTTCCTTTTTTTTTTTTTTTAATATCCAGTTTTTTAACTCAGAAAAATGTCCAGGTGTTTAATACCAGTGCACAAGCTTGTTGAATTGTCTGAGTAACTGTGGAAATTCTTGGACTCAACTAATCCAATCTTCAACCCTATTACAAGAGCTAATCCCATTCAATTTGCCTAATTTAACCTTGTATATGTTTGTATCAGGATGGATGATCTCTACCTCCGTCATGTTATCTGGATTAAGAAAGGATAACGCCATGTGGCGTGTTGCTTCCCAGGTACAACATGTTTGGTCTTTTTTGAGGATGTTTCCGACTCACAAATTGTGGGTAACATATGGGTCACAGCATACGACATGGCCCACTGGCCAACCATCTGCCTGTTTTATTAAAAAGCTTGTTCTAGGAAACTGAAATCCACCCATAAGAGAGATTGCTGCTACCAGTACTGGATCATATGCTACCAGGTGCCCGGGCTGCGATTCAGCTTCAGGCTCAGATCCAAACCTTTTCCTGCCAACTTTCTGCTCTGGAAAAGAAAGACACGAAACAGTCTCTGATTATCCTTCCTGTTCTTAGAGTTGTAATGACTAACCTAATGAGTCCACATTCTATCATTATCTGTCCTTTTTATGTAGTTCACATTGGATATTTCTCAGATTGTCTCTTTTTAATAAAACTGATAGATTTCTGCTATTTTAGTCCCATAGAGCTGTGTCAAGTTGTGTAAATTAAGGGTTTTTTGGGGGGAGAGGGTCAATTTCCCCTTTTTTGCCAATCATCTCTCATCTGTTATATATTTTTAAAGACAGTGTCTTGCTTACATTGTCTTCTTTTACAATATATTGCCATTTTTATGTGTCCAGATTTATGCAAATAATCAAATAGTAAAACACCTCAGAATGAGTAAGAAACCAACAATGCGCAAAAGTCAATGTCGGAACAAGGGCCTACTGTACTGGCCAAACTGCTGGCCTTTTATTGAAAGGCTTATTCTAGGAAACGGGGATCCAGCCATCAGAGAGATCTCTGCGACCAGCACTGGATCATATGCTACCAGGTGTCCGGGCTGCGATTCAGCTTCAGGCTCAGATCCAAACCTTTTCCTGCCAACTTTCTGCTCCGGAAAAAAAACAGACACGAGAGGTTAATCCGTTTTGAATTCAATTCTTCCATGCCTCCATTTAGTACAGCACCTTTTCCTTAAAGGGTCACGGAGGGGCTGGTGCCTATACCAGCGGTCATTGGACATAGAATGGCCCGGGCCCCCGTAGCGACTGACCAAGAACCTTGCTTGGAACTCCTCGTACTGTGACGGAATGCTGGTAACCGCCACACCACCATATCCTCTAACACCAAGTAAGGTAGCAACCCCTGAGTCTGGCATCGGTCATCCTGACAGCCAGTAAATTCTTACATAATTCAAATATCATCTCTTCATTCTTTTGTAAATCTAAACCAATGTACATCAAAATGGATATAGTGAAGCAGAATATTCTTTAGTACTTTGTATGGCCTCTCTGAACAGCTATGCAAAGTGGATATATAGTGTGTGTTATTACATTTGATTATTGAAAGGACAGTCATCCTGTGTGGGTTTTTTTTCTCGATTTAAACCAAACAGGAAAAGTTTAAGCAGAGGGATATTCTGAAAAGTCATGTTAGGAGAAAAAGTGTCTCACTAAACATCATGCTGCCATAATCCTTGACAATTATATCACTTTTGTGGTTTTAAATCCTGATCCCATTAAGATTTCAAAGTTGAGGTTTTAAGTCTGTTTCTCTAAGACTCTTACAGGGTGTTAACAATTACTGACAGCTCAGAGTGGCCAATAAGATCAAACAACATCCCTGAGCTCCTATGATCTTTTTAAAACACCTACGAGGTCATTCTCTTTTGTTTAGCTTAACTGTAGGAAGAGCCTTTTTTTTTTTTGCAAATCAAGGTAGTACAATTACTACACGTTCTTTATTTCTTCTTTTTGTGGCAAGATTTGAAAACAAGAAAATAGAATAAGTGTCTATCACTTATCATTACGTTGTGATGATCGTCAATCATCCTGACAAAAGGGAAAAATGATCAAGATAGAAGAGTGTAACTCTGAGGACAACTTATGAAGACAATGTTGGATGAGGAAGATTTTTATGCAAGTCCAGCTATCTCCAGTTGACTGTTTTTTTTTTCAGGCAGACTCTGATTAGACTTCCTGTTCTTGGAGTTGTAAAGACTAGGCTAATGAGTCCCCATTCTATCATTATCAGTCTTTCAAGACCTAATCCTTTTTGCATGGCGCACATGGGAAGCAAATCTTTGCATGTCCTCATTTGAACTGATGAAGGAACGAAAGTAAAAGGCATAGAATCTTATCTGTAACTTTTGCTAAATCTTTACTGTTTAGTTTGAGTCTTACTGGTAAAAAAAAAAAAAGGACACAATGGTTTCACATGATTCTAAGTGTTGCTTTGTCCAAATTCAACA